TTTATTGATAATATTTATTGACCTTTTGAAAATTGAATTTTTCAGACATAGAAAGGAAATCAAACGATCTAATACAATGCAATATTTTATCGAGTTTACAGTCGCGATTGAACTTTTAATGGATAGAAAAGAGAAAAAAGAATCTCTTTCGGGTTCATTGTTAGCTCTCCTGTTTTATTGAGAAAAATGGAATTGTGAAGAAAGGAGCTCATCGAACAAAGCGAGAAGAGATAATAGCGTTGTTGGCTTGCCAAAACTGCTACTAAAGCTTTCTTCCTTAAGGATGCCTCACAGTTAAATAACTTGTCGCGTAAACTGTGTGAACGATTGAATTCAAATCGTTAAGTTTTATCCCTCTGGTATTTAGATACAATCAATCCTCACAAGTTCCTGAACATCGAAATATTCGTATTCAATAAGTTCTTATTCATTTTACCAGAAAATTATCAACATTGTTTATTGCGCTAAAAATTACAAGTAAATATTTATGGCTATTAATAATTTAGAGATAAAAGAGTTAAATAAATAAGAAAATAGACAACAAAATACTTGCGCTCTTTTACAATCTTCTCTCATTAATTTAAAATAACTTACAGTATTACAGTCACCTTTCCAAAATAAATGAAAAATATTAACCAGCTTTATAAGAGAGGATACTTTCCTATCTTTTGATCTTCCAAGATATGTATATTTTATCTATATTGGATCGATATCTTACCTGAATTCACAGTGGAATTTCGATGATATTTACATTGCTTTTAATGGCTCGATACTGATTATGAACTTACGAAACCGATATGTAAGTACAATGAACAGATCTATCTGCTCGTCAAAGATTCGAATAGCTTTAATAGGAAATTCCCATCGGCTTTTCGGTGTCCCACGACGATTAGTTTACTTGCCGCAATGTAATCAATTTCTCTTAGGGGGCGCGTATCAGAATTCGAAGCGCAACATGTAATTAGTTACAGTCGTGGTACCAGAATTAATTCCCAGCAGACTTATTCTTTGGAGGTGGTGAGGACATTAAATTTGTTAAAAATAATTGTGGATAAATTATAGCAAGTATATTATAGGTTGATAAATTGATTTTTTATATTAATATCTTAACGATAGACTAAGACTACTGAACTTAACACGAATTTAATCATATACTACATGAAATTACACGAAGTCAAATATCAGTTTGTTCGACGTTTGCGACAACCAGAAACATGATGAAGTACCATAAACGATGCTACTTGCTCGTATATCTAAATGTATATTCATGTGTTTATTTAATTAGCATAAATGTAAAACATCATCCAGACTAAGACAAAAATAACGATGAATACAGTTTATGAAATTAAATTAGGTCAATTGATCTCTCTAATTCCAGTTTCGTGAAATTAAGAAATACATACTTGCATTTTGTTAAAGAAACAGAAAGAATAAAAGCTTTTATTTTCTTGCCCAAATGGATAAACTTTTATAAGACATAATCGTACAGAACGTTATCTCACATAGTTCTCATTGGTAATTAAAAGATTGATAGATTTACTCCTTGTCTAGATATACATTTATATATTTATGTATGCACATACATACATACATATATGTATTTACATTTAACGATACCTATAGTTCTCGCGTATCATCCTACAGTAATCGTAAAATGAAAGTAGTATAAAATATTACATTCAAAAGAATTAAAAATTCAAAGGATGAAAATTAGAAAGTTACATATTAAATATTCCAAATGGTACAAACATCTTTTTCAACCTAATTTCCTGGACAAATCACAAACAATTAATTCGTTTTAAATCTACAATGAAATGTGTACCGTGTACATACGTTTTTCCTATACGTAAATCAACCTCTATATGGGATGCGTGAGTAGCGTGAGTGAGGCCAGGCAAGGACGCAGGCATCGATTCTGACCTAACCACCTCCATCCCAGCTTCTAGCCTAACTCCAACAACTCACCCCGTTTCCACTTTCAACCTGCTCTTACCCCTTCTCTGTCAGGTCAACTCTGAACCTTGCGACTTTGTTTTACTTGACTACTCGTCTACCTATTCGTGGTCACCTACTCCTGGAAACCAGACGAATAGTAACATTCTTCTATTAATATCCACTAAAGATCTTAATTAGGATTTTGAAATTTCACAATTTACGATCTCTAATTTTCTTTCGTTTCTCGACCCTAAGATATCAGATGAAACATGAACGTTACGAGTGGAATACGATATTACTGTTCGGTTAACCTTTAAACTATGAAGGTGAATATTTCATGCTGTTTCGTTTCGTCGCCATTTCGACCGGGTTGAGTTTCTCGCAAGACAATAGATAGAAAACTTTTATCCTACCGTTTTAATCTCGGAATACAAGAAATAAAAATCACAACATACAATTAAGTCAGATATACTTATATTTCCAAAAAGCCATTTACAAGATATTTAATTTTATTTTGTGCGATTTCTCAGCACTGTTTCCGCTACCTCACATTATTTTAGAAGGATGGATCTCCTTTAGAAAATCAATTTACAATAATATAAAATTGCGAAAAATATTATAATAAAATTTGAGTGTTTTGAGATAATTCAGCAATAACTTCTAAAAGCAAAGAGAATTCCATAATTGAAACGTGGAACGACCTATCAGAAGAATCGAACATCACGCTATTATCTTTCATTCTCCACTAACGTTCTAAGCTATGTACATTCTCAATGTCCATGATCAATAAAATACACATTTTAACATGAATTTAATACTAAATGAAATCACTCGTTAGCGTGACTCGATCGATAGGGCTGTCCGGGTTGAATGTTTGAATATATAGCCCCGATTCTGGCATCTTGCCTACACACGATCTTGCATTTACACTATTATCCCATTTCGAAGCTTTATTTTTATTCTCATAACAGTACCTCCAATTGGCCGATTCGTTAACAGCCTCTGATTTCCGTTCGATTGACGTATCGAATTCGGTGTAACATTACTGCAGGAAATCGCATGCTGTTTCACGAAGTAATAATCGATAACCGCGTACAATTTCGAAGATTTTCAACGTCGAACAGCGTGTACACATTTTGATCAATAATACGGCAGCACTTTGCGTTGGACTGGTTTCGAGCAGCAAGTAGAGCATGCGCCCGATAAACATTAAGGGATTTGCTGTCGTCTTCTCGTTCGAAACGATTAATCGTTCTACGTTCGCGCGATCGCTTTTTTCCTTTTATTTCTCCTCGGCACACTAGTTTTTATTCGCTTTCATTTCGCGCAAACGATCGGTGGAATTTATCGTGAGAATGTTGGGACAAATTGAGCGTTTATCGTTCCTTCATTAATTTCAAGATAGAACGTTAATTCACATTTTAAATGAAGAGATATAGTTCTATAACAAGAGTTTTTAGTAATTAATGAAAATAGTATTAGATATCTAGAGCTTTCGAAGAAGAAATGGATTTTAAAATTTTATTATTTTAGTTATTTAGTTCCATTAGATAGACGTAGCAAAGAAAAGGGAATTTTAGAATTTTGTAAGATAATTATATTATTTTAAATATGTTACTTTACATATTCAGATAAATTACATAGAAGTTGTTCGAAATATCAAGTATTTTTAGAATTTAAATAAAAAGAAATTTAAAAATTTTATAAGATACGTTGTTTTAAATACATTATGGTTTTTTACATATTTAACTGAATTATATACAAATAATAAGAACTCTGAATTATCTTGGAAGGATAAAATTTAAATGTTGATGCATTATTCGTTATATTATATCTACATTATTAAAAAATTAAATAGGCACCTTATTGCGAATTTAAACAACGTTTACTGTTTCCAACAGTTAGTTTTGTAATATTTGCGAATTACTATCTAGTGAATTCTGTACCTTATTCATTTCCTTTCTTAGTAAATTTTAGAAACTAGGACAGGAAAGGATATTAAATTTTGAAGTAAGATCGAGGAAAAACGATATTACTTCGAAAATGAATTTTATGCTATATCTTATGAACCATGCAAAGTTTCCTTGGTCCGGTCTCTGGTCTTTAAGGTTAGATTATGAGACCATTCATTTGCTTAACTGTTTAAGACCATCGGCAAACTTGGATTATCTTTCGATCGTTGTCGTTGACGAGCTTCTTGGTGGCATTAAAGATCTTCAAGAGCCTCTTGGGATATCAATGAAATCGATGATAAAATTATTTCGTAGCATGTGAGCGAAGCATTAAAATTACAATAGCGTCAGAAGTACGATTTTTAAGGGATTTTAAAAGATTTCTTTTTAAAATATGTACTTATTATTTCGTAGTACGCAAATACCAATAAAAAATAAAAACTAAATAAAATCTACGTTATGGAAAATTTTGTTCGTTAATCTAAATCATAACTTAAAAAAGAAAATTTAAAAATCCCAACTTTACACACAAATCCTTCGTTTTAAGAATGACGCTCCATCTTCGTTAAAATGTGTACATGTGTGTGTCTGCGAAGGATGGGTGAATGTGCGAATCTAAAAGGGAGAGTACGAAAATTATGTACCTGAGGTGAGAAAATTAATCACCATAGATCTTCCATTAACTTTTTCTTTCTTAAACAGGACAAGGTAATCAATTTACTATCATTAATTCGCTATCCGCTATAGTTGGGTCATTCAGAGTTCAAACGCAAATAATGGAAATTTGGTATCAATTATTATAATCTTTTCCACTTTGTGTATAGATGTGAGTAGATGTACGTAGATGTGTGCACAAGTGAAGGTGCGATACTTATAAATTTTTGCCAATACTGAAAATTCAAGCGCCTTATCTTCAGAATAGCTTTTTCTTGTTTCAAAAAAAGATTAAGAACCAATTTTCATCATTCGAGACTGCCAAGTGGAAAAATGGTAAATTTACGTATCAACTGTGACTGTCCCAACTCTACTAAATTATCATCTGACGCTTGATTTTCTTACAGTCTGCACTGTATGCATTTACAACGTTAACCAACGCTGATATACCTGTTTCAGAAACTTGAGCAAGACGATGACGACGAGTATCTCAACTCCCCCTGGGCCGACGGCAGCAGTCTGAAGCGACACTTTCAAGGTCTGAACAACATCTCCTGGAAACCGCACTAAGCGGGAACCCAAGAATGGGACCTAGAAGAAACGAGAGAAAAAGCGAAAGAAAAAGAATTTTTTCTTCTACGTAGCTTGTTCAAGTTACCGACCGCAAATATAGCCAATATTCTCTCACCGACTATCAAAGATGAAGAACGAAAATTTTATGAAATATGTAATAGAGAAAAAAGACCGCAATGGCGACCGTATCTTCAGGTATTTCCACGGATTGAACCAGTGGTGTACGATGCTCAACGTAAGAGTTTTCGAAAGGAACGGGCGTTCAATTGCGTCCAATTAAATACAAAATAAAAAAATAAAAGAAAGAAAATAAAAATAGGATATTCGTCGGCGTTCTCTCCTCAAAGCGAAGAAACGGAAAAAAAAGAATTCAATTGATATAGGGTTTGATCCAGAGTGTCGTTCAAGATGAAAGACAAAGGAAAAATAGAAAGAGAGTGTTTTAATAATATGCCACAACGCTATCGCATGATACTGTCCCACATTGTGTACGCGCTAATTATTATCCAATAGAGATATAACAATATTTTGTGACAGACTTTTTTCTACTCGACAACCGCCCGGCATCACGAGAAACGCATGCAAAGAACGTGACCTCTCGGTTCTTGCTGATCGATTAATCCGTTGGTGGCTCGCGTTTTTAGCCCGGCACCGAGGTCGAACGATCGGCTGCTTGGCGAGGATCCAGCGAGGAAACATTACATTCGGATTCGTTGCCGATATTCCGAGCATCTCTGGGGACTCGTCGTATCGTAAAGGGTACTTCCGAAACATTATAGAAGAACTTCCAGGATAAATTCCCGGCACTACTCGATCGCCATTGAGGGAAGATCGATGCAAATGAACCATCGACTTGGAAACTATTCCATATCTAAACTGTATAATCCCTCTTCCTGACGATTTAACAAGTTTCCGAATTTGCTCATAGCGATGCTCGAGGAACGTTGTACAAACGTAGAAATTGTATAAATTCTCAATGATTGTGCTTGGGGAAACGCGATTCGTAGCACAATATCAAAGAGAATTGCGAAATGGATCGATTTTGGAGATCATTATATATAATATATATATCGTGTCGAGTACAGGAATTATTTGTCGTTGAGCTTCTTCGGGAACACTCTGTACGGTATCGACGCCCTATAATCGCAGTCAGGCGATTTTTTCTTCGTGTATGCAATTCACGTAACTATTCTCACGGAAGCCTGCGAATGTAAGACAAATAAGGCGAATCGTTTCCTGCGGGTTGAACGTACCATACGATTCGATCACCGACAGAATAAATTATATGTAATAAACAGTCACGCGATTCACTCCTCATCGTGATACTAAGTCGAGCGAAAGCATTCCTGCCCATTTCTTCGATAGCACGCGCCTGGTGAAAAAAACACACATACACATACACACACTTGGTCCTTTTTGCACAACTCTGGCTGACTCTAATTTACTTGACCAAGGAAATGTAAAAAATGAGAAAAAAAGGAAAATGTAATCCCTGTCGTGATAATCGGCAAACGCTAAAGAGGAGAGAAACCGAGCTTGCGCGAAACGGTCGCGTTTACTCAAGTGGACTAGAAGCTTAAAACGAGTAAATTAATGAATTAAGAGTACCGTTACCAAGTTAACAAGTATTACTAAGTTAATCTGCTTGCTGTGTGATCATGACGCGCATCCGAGAAACGCCACTTCACGTGCATCGTAGACGAATCGTGAACCACACATGTATCGATATACTGTATCTTTCACGTACACAGAACATACATACACATACACTTACATGTACACGTCCGTTTTACCGTGAACCGTAAATACACGCTTCTGTCTGAGAATATTCGACGCGATTCACCGAGACGTAAAACGGCGAACTTCAAATTACGCTTTAGGGGTGCGCCCTTCCTCCATTGATTACTCGATTTCTGCGTTTGTTTTCTTTCGGCAAAAGTAAGATAAAGGTCGCTCGGATATGATAGAAACGACGAGTAGAACATTGTGATCGAAAATTTGGTGATTGATGGAAATCGAGTGAGAAGGCTGATTCGTATCTACTGTGGATTTGTCTGACTAGTCTCGGGTGATACTACTGAACCCCTTCTAACTCTGCTGGCGTATTGAATCAGTAGGTTGCTATAAGTATATTACTATAAGACTTGATATAATTTTCGCAAAATTATAAACAATTATTATTGTATTACGTTAAAACATATGAAATGTCCGATTTTGAACAGCTGGCTGAATCGTAAAAGAATATATTAATATACGTAAATGTTAGAAAAATAATATTATATATGATAGAGAAAATTCTCAGCTTTAAGATGACATATAGGAATAAGAATATTTGTTGAAAAGAAATTTTAAAAAATTGATGCAACAAAAATGGACATTTCATATATTACAAATTATTATTAACAAACGATCATTTTTTCAATAATACAACAATATAAAAGGATTTATGTAACAAATTATTGTATGTCAAAGCGGTTAGTGAGAGCTATCAATGAAAATACTGTCTGTAAGAGATACTGCCACAATGAACCTAAATGTTTCCTTCGAAATACGTTCATACTGCAACATATTGACAAATAAGATCCGATGAAGTGTCGGCGTTCAAATCGACGTTGTTTGTATGCTGAACGCTCAGTGAAAAGGTATCGAACGATACTTTATCAAACCAATATCAGTTCTTTATCAGTAGATCGACACACAGCACGAATCAGCCCTATCTGAAGCATATTGTATGGCATCACGATACAGTTTCGTGTCGCGAAAGAATGTAATTTTTCAAAGGTGGATCGGGTGACGTTTATCAATAGGAAGGAACGGAAAGTTCATTGTTCCCGCTTTGTATCTCTGGTTGAATAACGAGTAGCACACAGTCAAATGTTGCACGCGACATTTTTTAAAATTATAGATTTCGAACCGCTATCGTAGCGGGCTCAAAGAAAACTCACCCCCGCGATTACGTAAAGGAACACAGGGTGCCACTTGCGCAGAGGGTGAAACAAGTAACGATGGTTTTTTCGCGGCATCGTTGCTGCGCGTAAATCGATACGAGTGGCGCAGGACAGGCGAACCTTCGCCCCTGAGATCGATGGCAAAAATTGATGCTGAACAAATTTTAGCAACACCCAAATTCTAGTTATTTAATGAATTTCTGCTGTAATATTCTTTAAAGTTCATATTCTTCTTTTTGGACAGATAATATCATGATATTCGGATTAACTTGATCCGTTTCGTGTCATTACTGTCCTTTAACACTGAAATTCAAAGATAATCGAAAAGATTTCTGAAAAAGGAGCTTATAAAATAAGATAGTAATTAAATATTTGGTGCTTGCGTAAATTGTATCGGAAATTTTAGTTTTATTATTATCATATTACCTAGGTTTGAATTCACAATTATAATGGATCTTAAAGGAGATCGTTCTTTCGATATTTGTGATATTTTATGATCATTCCACTATTTGAGTAAAAAATATGTTCGACACCTATATATTTACCATAGATTCTTACCTACAAGTTCTATTCTTAGAAAGCTCCTGCATTGTCAGTTCTATTAGAATTCATGAGCGAATTTAGAATAATATTGAACAACATTAATATCCACTTTGTACAAAGTACTAGTTATAATGTAAACATAGCATTTTATAAAGAATGAATCTTGAACATATTGTGTAATTAACTCAGAGATCTATGTTTAACGAATGTAAATTATAGTATTTTCCATTGCTCGGTTCTGGAATTATTGTTGAGCAGAGTATCGATCAAATAGTCGCACCCTGGGTACCACGCAACTTGAACCTAATCTTCTACGTTCGAAGACCTGAAACAACGCTAATTTTAGCGATTGAATTACAAAAAAGAAAATGGAAGCATAGTAAAAAACAACTAAGATTTCATATAGACTATTTTCCTTTCCGCTGAAGAACGCGAAAAGTGATTACTATGGTGCTTGATTCGAGAAACAGTTAAAATATCTGTATTAAAAGATAATTTTAATATATTTAACACAGCATCGAATTATATAAGATGATCTCACGTGTGATTCTCATTCGACGTGATCTTTCATCATTTTACAAGTTTGCGACCTGTTCCATACGTAAAAACGCCATACACACACGCACACACACAGACACACCTTTTCAACGAACATGTATACACACGTGTACACACGTATACGAACACACATATGACTAACACGAATATACATTGGTAACCTATGGAAAGAAATAATAATTGAATTGTTTTTATGGATTAAGAACAAGTTGTCTGTGATCTACAATAATTAAAAGAATATTTAATAAGTATTAACATGGTAAATGCATAATTGACATGTCGATAATGTCGAACGAATCGGTTTAGGGAATAATAACTAATAATAGAGCAAACAAAAGAAAGAGGAAGGAGAACAAGGAAGCGGAAGTAAAAGCAGTCAGATATCGGAATGATCTCAATGTTAATGGATAGAGCAATATGATAGAAGAGATGGCGGGCAAAAAATAATAAAGATAACGTTTGTCGCATTAACGACATCACCGCAAAGGAATTCTAGAGAGAAAAGAGGTATATTATATAAATGCATATATAAACATTAAAATAATAAAGAAAGAAAAAAAATAGAGATTTAAAAATGGAACACGCCACGTCTAAATACTATGTAATCGCTGTTGTTAATCAGTAATAATCCGCGATGTAAAGAGAAGAGAAGAAAAATACCAATTTATGCGTGCTGCGTTCGAAGTACCGATTAAAATACCAAAAAAATTATATAAATAAATATATATATATGGCACTTGACCGTCGCGGCTAAAAAAAAAGTACATAGGATAGATAGATTTATAGAAGCGCAAAAAAACACCAAAAATCGTTCCTTCCACCCGCTCCGGCCGTGTATTTGATTATCGATTTTAAATATATCGCATCTCATGTAAAAGTCAAAGAATGGCTCTGCGAACTTGTAAACGCACCTCAGAATGCAATTAGTATGTCGTTTTACTAATAAGACAGGGAGGAATAGAGTTGTTAAACTGAATGAAAACAAGAGATTAAAAGGGGAGAGGAATGGAAATTACAGAGGAGAGAAAAGAACGAAGATAAAGAGAATGCTATATTAATGCCACAATCACCGAGTAATAAGTTGTTCAACGAGCGTTGCGAAAGATGTTCGAGATAATTTTTGTACAGTTTTGGCACACACGAGAACGTGCAACATCGTCGTCTTTATATTTATGTACAACATTCAATTATTATAAATTTTCGATATTATTACAAACTATGATCGATTTCGTGTGAAAGTGTATATGGCTTTTTCTGCGGTTAACAATAAAATGTTGTCAAAGCTTTTTCACGAGATATATATACATACATATTTCACTCAGAAGTTTGATTTATCTACTGATTATTGTCCTTCCCTTGTTCCACAATATATTATAGCTAAATGAATTATAATTTTTTCAACAGAATTTTGAATAGTCAAACTGTTTCAAGCTTGTTTATATGATACGTGATCTGTTTGCATGGGTGTTTTATTATCAATAATTTCCGTATATAGGATATTAAATTATACATTATCAACTATTATAGGACAACATGCAATAATTAAAATGAAACGTTTAGTTTAATAAAATACTGATTAGAATCTGAAAGAGTGATATGATTTGTACAGTTTACATTTGCAAATAGCTAACTAAAAAAAATTCTTTCTATTATTATATAACAATATAGGAATCTGATTTCTTGCTTGTTTAAGAATCTTCTCAAGGAGAATATGAAAATCGACGACTTCGATTTAACCAACAGCAGGTATTTCTTGATACAAGAATAGACATCAACCTCTCTATACCATTCTAATCTATTGTAGATTACAATTCTTACAGATTACCGACGTAAGAATAATCTAGGGATA